ATAATAATAATAATGAAACTTGAAAAAGAGTCATATAAAAAATTAACGGTAACGGTAACGTTCGACCAGTCGTTGTATGCAAAGGCATAAAGAGAGAAATAAATGGAAATAAGAAACGACCGCAGGCGATTTCAAATTAACGACGAGATGAAATTGTAAAAAATATTCAAGTAAATTGCGGTATATTGCGGTATAAGTGCCAGAGATGCAGGCCGACAATCGGACGGAACCGAAATGCCGCACATATAATTTACTTCTTACACTTGGCTTGTGTTTTTTTTTTTTTTGTTTTTTTTTTGCTTTCCTTTTTCGTTTGTAACATTGTTTGAGTCTATTTTACGCATGTTTACTTGAAGTAATCAGGCGTAGTGTAAAAAGCATACAAATTACGCTTTGCGTTAACAGGAGCAATAGCAGCAGCAACAACAACAAGAACACCAGCAACACTGAATGCATTCTTATACAAAGACACATACATTTATACGCAATTGTTGATTTGTTGACGCGTCTATGTTTATGACGTTGGTGATGACGATAATGACGATTGTCGATCTGTTGTTAATGCTGATGTGTTGATAGCTTACAACACACACTCAGCAACGCATTTTCGAGATGAATCGGTTTTCATGTCAATGTCGCGCGTAACGCTATGGGATTTATCTTTTGTTACATATCTGTGCGATGCAAGTATGTTTGTGTGTGTGTGTGTGTGTGTGTGTGTGTGTATGTATGTATGTGCTATTGTATGTGCTTGGCTGCTTTTAATTTAATTTATTTATTTATGGTGTGTGACATAAGTGAGTACGCGAACCTCATAATTTATGTATGACTCCGTGTTGCTCTTTATATAAGAAGTTTTGTAATGCGAGTATTACCAGGCAATTTGTCTTAGAAGATTTTTATGGTTATCAGCACAATAACAAACAATAAGACGTTATATTCGATTTAAATCGAACTCTTATTTAAATTATTGTTTGTCTATTCTCAGCTACTGAAAATCGTGCGCGACCACATTGTTAAGCTTTTTGTTCTAATGGAACCCGAAACCTTAACATGGACTCGTGCACTTAATATCCCGCATGACACAGCTAAAAAGACCTTTGAAATGCCTTAAGTTAATTACCTAATATTATGGTTAAAATGTACCTAAATTATCGGAAGATGTATTTCTTGCATATAATTTTAACGTTAACTCGAAGAGAGTGAGGAGAGAGATTTTAAGCAAATGTTAAGTATAAGTTGTCTTCTAAGCAAAGTATCGAGCTCGCAAGGAGATTACAAGGAACAGGTGGACGAGCGCAGAGAATTGAGAATCGAAGCTGGTACTCATGCATGATGAAATGTTTTCATAGGTTCTCCTAGTGCAGGTCATCGACTCTCAATAAGCTAAACATGAGACAACTTGTAAAGTAATCGATATAATTGTGTGTAAATATATGTTGGGATCAACGTTGGGGCAACTTGTCGAAAATAAGCCACAGCCGTACAGCTGAGTAGTTAAAAGACCCGACTGCCAAGTCGGTGTCGATGAGTTTAAATCTCAGCGCGCTTTCACTAAGCGTGCGCTCAGTCAGTAAAGGCCTAGCACGGACCCATTAGTCACGCACCCTCTCTTTCTCTTTCACGACTTCTTTATCACCACCAGCTTATTACACACATACGGGAACACATCTTCTCAGTGAGTGGCAATAAAAAAGAACTACATTTGCTCCCTGCCAAC